GGAACACGCAGCCCATTAGCAGCATTTTGCCAATGGATAGTTCCACTGGCAGGTTACTCAATGAGCTTCCTAATGGGGTGATCTTCTCCTCAACGCTAATGGCGCCCTATTGGATAGTGGATAGGCGCAAAAAAAATACATATGTAGGTATGTACGTATTATCGATTCGATATTGAGAATATGTACATATGTATGTAGGTTAGGTTAGGTTGAGGCTGTCGTCGGGACTTCACAATCCCGACACACTTAGGCCGGTTTTGGCCCGTTGTGCTTCCGCTTGGATATTTTCCTCTTCTCCTCCTGTTTGTCAGGGTGTCAACAGTGCTCCCATCCAGATGCTCTCAAGATGCTATGTATGTATGTTTGTACATAATTCGCCCTGGAAGTCATTCTCAGATTTTTAGCATACTGTAGAAAGTGCTGGTCAGTATTTGCGAATGTAATTTAACCAAATGCTATACATTTCAGCTATCACACTCTATCCCGAGCCCTAGGGCTCGGTAAATACAAATGTGAAACATTTTAAACAGCGAAAAATAAAAAACTAAAACGGGAACGAACGTGTGAGACGCTTTCATTTTTTAAATACACTTGTAACAGTGTGAGCATACACAGAAGTATGGATGAAAAATTTGGTGGCTCTAGCTCTTATGTTCTCTGAGTAATAGGCGCTCATCAGGACGGACAGACGGACAGACAGACATGGCTCTATCGACTCGGCTATTGACGCTGATCAAGAATATATGTACTTTATGGGGTCAGAAACGTTTCCTTCTGTGCGTTAAATACAACCGTTATTCGCACAAATAAAATATACCCTATTTACTCTTCGAGTACCGGGTTTTAAAATGATTGTGTTTCTGGTTTTAATGATTACATTAACTAACCCGAAGGGATCGGAGTTATACAAATGCATACGAAACAATAACATAACGACTTTGTCAACTGGTGTGCCCACATACTGGCCAACTGATAGTCGAAAAATTCCAGATTTGATTGATTTCATAGTATTCTCTGGAATCCCACAATCACACATGCGAGTAATGGAGAGCTTTGACCTTAACTCAGATCATTCTCCAATAATAGCAACTTACAGCACAATAGCCCATATGTTGGAAAAGTCCTATAAAGTAATAACAGCCTCTACAGACATTAACGCATTTAAAAGCCATTTAGATTCAGCTATAAGCCTGGACATTCCGTTAAAAACAGGAGAGGAGATAGACTATGCTGTGGAGCTTTTTACAAATACAATTCATAATGCGAGCTACAGAAACACGAATCATGCTCTTAATCATCAACAACCAAACCAATTGAACCTTTCAACCGATCTTCGACAAAAAATACAAAATAAAAGGAATCTGCGAAAACGCTGGCAAGAAACTCACTACCCTGCTGACAAAAGATTATACAACAAGGCTGCATCTGAGCTTAGACAACTGCTGTCGAACTTACGCAATGAATCTCTAGCTGCGTATCTGAGAAACTTAGACCCTAATTCAAGCAACAATGAATACAACCTATGGAGGGCGACTAAATACCTAAAGAAACCAGCTAAAAGAAACATAAATATTCGCAAAAACAACGAAACTTGGTGTAGGTCTAATAATGAACAAGCGGAAGCATTTGCACAACATCTGCACTCTGTGTTTCAGCCAAACGATATAAATAATTATACAACAGAGACTGAAGTAGAAAAATTCCTTGAGTCACCCTGCCAAATGAGCTTGCCTATTAAAAGCATTAAATATGAAGAAGTTGTGACAGAAATCAAATGCTTGAACAATAAAAAAGCACCAGGCCCTGATAAAATAGACGGTATCACCCTAAAAAGTTTACCACCAAAATGCATTCGGTTTCTCACTCTTATATATAACGCGATTCTCAGACTAGACCACTTTCCAAGTCAATGGAAATGTGCAGAGATCGTTATGATCCTAAAACCAAACAAAATAGAAACGGAATTGACATCATACCGTCCCATTAGTCTGTTGACAATTTTCTCGAAAGTGTTTGAAAAAATACTATTGAAGAGAATGTTACCAATTTTAGACGAACTTTCCATCATTCCTGAATACCAATTCGGATTCAGGAGGGGTCATGGGACCCCTGAGCAATGTCACAGGGTTATTAATGATATAGTTTCGGCATTTGAAAACAAAAAATACTGCACTGCTGCATTTCTTGATGTTCAACAAGCGTTCGATCGAGTCTGGCACAAAGGTTTGTTGTACAAGATAAAGAAATGGCTACCTGCTCCGTACTATTTATTAATCAAATCATATCTGGCTAGAAGATGCTTTTACGTGCAGCAGAAAACCGATAGTTCATCACTACTTCTCATCAACTCAGGCGTCCCACAAGGAAGCGTATTGGGACCAATTCTCTACACCCTATATACGGCCGACATGCCAGTTACAAACAACTGCACTGTTGCAACATATGCTGATGATACAGCCGTTTTAGCCACAAGCACATCTATAAATGAAGCTTCTGAACTCCTGCAGAGTGAGCTAAGCCTAATTGAAGACTGGTTCCTTCGATGGAAAATTAGAATAAACTCCCTGAAATCCGTCCAAATAACGTTTTCATTAAGACCAGGTAACTGCCCAAATGTTACACTTAACGGCTCACCAATTCCACAAAGTACNGTATCACCCTAAAAAGTTTACCACCAAAATGCATTCGGTTTCTCACTCTTATATATAACGCGATTCTCAGACTAGACCACTTTCCAAGTCAATGGAAATGTGCAGAGATCGTTATGATCCTAAAACCAAACAAAATAGAAACGGAATTGACATCATACCGTCCCATTAGTCTGTTGACAATTTTCTCGAAAGTGTTTGAAAAAATACTATTGAAGAGAATGTTACCAATTTTAGACGAACTTTCCATCATTCCTGAATACCAATTCGGATTCAGGAGGGGTCACGGGACCCCTGAGCAATGTCACAGGGTTATTAATGATATAGTTTCGGCATTTGAAAACAAAAAATACTGCACTGCTGCATTTCTTGATGTTCAACAAGCGTTCGATCGAGTCTGGCACAAAGGTTTGTTGTACAAGATAAAGAAATGGCTACCTGCTCCGTACTATTTATTAATCAAATCATATCTGGCTAGAAGATGCTTTTACGTGCAGCAGAAAACCGATAGTTCATCACTACTTCTCATCAACTCAGGCGTCCCACAAGGAAGCGTATTGGGACCAATTCTCTACACCCTATATACGGCCGACATGCCAGTTACAAACAACTGCACTGTTGCAACATATGCTGATGATACAGCCGTTTTAGCCACAAGCACATCTATAAATGAAGCTTCTGAACTCCTGCAGAGTGAGCTAAGCCTAATTGAAGACTGGTTCCTTCGATGGAAAATTAGAATAAACTCCCTGAAATCCGTCCAAATAACGTTTTCATTAAGACCAGGTAACTTCCCAAATGTTACACTTAACGGCTCACCAATTCCACAAAGTACCTGTGTGAAGTATCTCGGCTTGCATCTCGACCGCAGATTAACATGGAAAAACCACATTAAAGCAAAATGTCAACAACTTAGACTTAAAACACTAAAAATGTCCTGGCTGATAAGTCGAAAATCAGAAACCACTTTGGAAAACAAAATTCGCCTCTACAAATCCATACTGAAGCCTGTTTGGACCTACGCTATACAGCTTTGGGGAACTGCTAGCAACTCAAATATTGAAATACTTCAGCGTTACCAATCAAAAACTTTGCGACAAATTGTCAATGCTCCGTTTTACGTATCTAATGCAAACATCCACAAAGATCTGAATATTCCAACCATTAAAGAAGAAATAAAGAAAACTAGTAAGAAATACATCGACAGACTCCACAACCACGAAAATAATTTAGCCTTAAGTCTATTAGACAATAGCCTAACAGTAAGAAGACTGAAAAGATACCACATTCTCGATATCCCTGATAGATAAATTTAACAAACTAAAAAGATGTTATATATAATAGCAGGGCTCATTGGAAAACTGCTATTTCTGTTAATTGAATATTAATTATACAATTTACTTATTGTTTAAAAACAGGTTGTAAATATAAAGAGAGAAAAAAAAAAAAAAATAAATGATTACATTCCAGTCTGCTCAAAAAGGTATCACTTGTTTAATTCGAAAGACTGCAATGGTCTCAAAAATAGTTGGGAAAGTGATGACGTGCGGCAATACTATTTAATTGCACACAACTGTAGCTATATGGATGCTTACTTGCTGCTTTAGTGCTAGAATGGTATGTTCGATGCGCTCTGGTTCTGGAGGCTCAATGAAGGGAAAGGCCCTGACGTCGGGCAGTCCCATGGTTACCATTTGCAACAACATTGTGTCCAAAGGGACGCGGTAGATTTCCGGAGCAGGATACGGATCGAACGCATCAAATTGCTGCTGTGAGTAGAGGCGAAAGCAGAGCTGAGGGAAGTAAGAAGACATGGTTAAGAGCTGGGACAAGTCCACTCTGTTAATAATTGAACTGACTCCTGGTCCTGTGCGACCTGCGCGACCTTTACGCTGTTCTGCCGATGATTTGGAAACCCAGAACTCCTTCAGGCGTTGTCCCTTACACGCTGCATCATAGCTCATCTCTTTGACTTTTCCCGAATCGACTACAAACCGCACACCGTCCACAGTAAGCGAAGTTTCGGAAATATTCGTGGATACTATGCACTTGCGCGAGCCTTCGGGTGCATAATCGAAAACCTTGTCTTGCTCGGATAGTGCCAGTCCACTGTGAAGTGGCAGAACGATCCAGTGTGTTTGCTGGGTGGCGTACTCCTGGATAGCCTCGCAGATGGTGTCGATCTCGCTAACGCCGCTTACAAAAATGAGCACATCACCGCGCTCGGTGGCTAAAAGCGAACGCCGAAGGTCTCAAGAACTTACATATGATCGTTAAATTTGGTTGTCTGAGCTTACAGGGATATTGCTGGTCGATCAGGTTAAGAACTTGCACGAATGGAGCTGGGTCGATGCGCGTTCCCTGCGAACGATTAGACCTCACCGTGGCTTGGCCGGCTTTTAACTCCATCGTTGGGGGGGGAATGTAGCGCAGTTTTATGGGAAACACCCGTCCCGGCACCTGCACCAACCGAGCCCCCTCCTCTTTAAAGTAACATTGGAACAGTTCCACATTGATGGTGGCCGACATAAGGATTAGTTTTAGCTGTGGCTTGCTCCGCAGCAGACATTTGCTCACACCTAGAAGGAAGTCTCCAAAGAGATTCCGCTCGTGTATCTCGTCCAGAATGAGGACGTCATAGTCATCTAGATTAGAAGAAATCGTAAGTTGGCGAAGTAACAGACCTTCCGTGATGAACAGTATGTTCGTCTGCTTTGTTTTCCTTCGCTCGAACCGAATCTGGAATCCCACCTTACTGCCGAACTCTTCCAGCAGCTCATGGGCCACACGCTTCGACAGCGACACGCATGCCAAGCGTCGCGGTTGAGTACACACTGAAATGTAATAAAGAGGAATTAGCTCGGCTACTGAAGTGGTGACAAAACACTAACTTACCTATGCTGCGATAACCAAAATCAAAGAGGAACTGCGGAACTTGTGTGGATTTTCCGCATCCCGTGTCGCCGGCAATAATGACCACACGGGACAAGCCCATTGCCGCATGCAAATCATCCTTGAATCGGGCAATCGGTAAATTTCTCTGTGCATGGCGCAGTTTCTTAATACGTTTAAGCTTCTCTTTCTGTTTGAAATCAAGGTAGATGACCAGTAGCTGCTGGAATTGCGATTGAACCTCGCTAATGTTATCTTGTTCTTGGGGTAAAGCACGCTCATTCAGATGAATAGCCAGGTGCTTGCTAATGTGATATAGCTGTGGTCTTAGAAGCTCTAGCTCCGGCAACACTTGTGGAAGCACTGTCTGGCCCATACTGCGCAAAATGCACTCATATTTCTTTACAAATTTCCAGAAGTCGGGCTCGTTCTCGACCAAATTTAGCTTTTCACGGCTTTTAACCTTTAGAATGCTATTGAGTTCAGCCTTTAGTTCTAAAAAACTAAAGTCCGCTAGATTGAGCAGCCTCTCCGTTTTACTTGATTTCTTTGACATAACTGATAAAACTCAGGTGAACATCGGTCGTCAGTAATATAACCATGTAATATTGGTTTATTTTTTTTTTTGGTATTTAATCGCTACAGCGAAATTGGTTGGTCGCAGACCGGTCCGCATTGACCAGGACTTTATGTTTATGTTAAATATTAGAAGAAAAATGTTACTTAAAATTTTGAACTCAACAAAGAGTTGTCGAACGAACACCAGAAATAGAATATGTAATATCGGTTCGATGATGATGATGACAGAATCAGTGTGACCCCGAAATTATCGGTCAAATTATCTGACCCTCAGAAAAATACCGAAATATATATTTCCATTTAAAAAAAAAAATCCGCTGATAATGTGTGTGTATGTGTTTCTGTCGACAAACAATGGGCGCGTTCCCCTGAACAACCTGACATTTTCCTGGTGAACGCACTTGATCAGCGTATTTAATGCAAGAAATCATAGATAGGATTTCAATAATTGGATCGTGAAAAAAGTCCGATCCATTGAACTTGTTCCCGATGCTTTTGCCTTATATCGATAGCTGATATATCGACATGAGAACGCAGAAGAAGACGAATGTGAGCAAAGGCATATATATTTAAAAAATCATGAATTCCGCTCAATACTTATTTTTATGGAAAAAATATTCAATTTGAATTGACTACGAACGTAGTGTACAATTCTATACTGGCGTCGGGGAACGGAGATTTGCATAGGAGTATATTTAAAAAAGAATCAAACGAAAAAAGGAACTGCTCCCTAGTTTCAGAGGCAATTGTTTTTACGATGTCGCGATGGTAAGGTATAGATCGGACGCGTTCACCAGGACTCAAAAATCCGATCCCTTCCATGGATCATGGATCGGTGATCAAATGTCCTGGTGTATGCACTCAATATAAATTATTTTTCCGTTCGAGATGGGAGTATTTAATCGGTTGGTTTTCTGGTATATTTTCTGCTGATCTGAGCCACTAACCAAATAGACTCTCAACTTAATACAAGCGAAACGTCACCGCTCAATGTGCGTCTCGGAGTCCCAGGCTTCTGCCCATGAAGAAACTATAAAGGAGGACTCGTCGTCGGCAGCGTTCCTCGGGTCATTTCCCCCCGAGCTCAGTGCTTCAGGCGCACACTCCATTGTCGTTTCGCTCACACTTACAGCGAAAGCCCTTTCACTCGCACTTATTGACAGCATTGTTACGTTTCCCTCCAAAAAAGCCGACGGGTCCTCCTTTTTAGTTGCTTCATGCCTCTGCGAACGTCCCAGCTACAAGTATTAGTGCGTGTAGCACCTCAAATTTGATGCCTATTCTAATCTAAAAACCCACCGCGGTGGGTCTATGCAGATTTTATTATATATTATATTATTATATATATATATATATAAATATATATATATATATTCTTGATCTATTATTATTGTCCTATATATATATATATATTATATACATTATATATATAAATATATATTGTAGTAGTAATAGTAATAGATCAAGAATATATATATACAGCATATACATATATATATAGTATATATAGATTCTTGATCAGCATCAATAGCTATATATATACCACCAACCCCCACCGCTCATTCTGCACATGTTGCGGCAGGTCAGGTTCATACGCCAAGCCCCGAAAACAAAATCAAATCATCATTTTATTTTTAAAAATTGCACTTATAACCTCTACGCCAGGTAAGTTTTGGAGCAAAACTGTAACAAGTTACATATTTCTATGTGGCGATTTCCCCCTTGTAAAGGCGGGTGGCCAAATAATTCCCCTCTACCCAAGGGTAGAGCGGTAACTTAAAACATCAAAACAAAAAAAAAAATCAAATCATCAAAACGAATTTTCGTTCCATCGCAGTTCATCAAGTCAGCGCACCAACACATACATTACTTGCAGTGTCCGTGTGAATCAAGACAAACCCGGTTTGGAGCGCTAAAAAATCATTGGCTACACTCACTTATACAAATGTAACTGGGATTTCTGGCTGCGTGCTCTACATGCACTAATAAAAATGTAGCTGGGACTTCTAGCTGCGTGTTCTACACGCACTAATACTTGTAGCTGCGACGTTGGCAGAGGCCTGGGAATTCCCGACGCACATTCTGCGGTGACGTTTCGCTTCCTTCAAATTGACAATCTACTATACTATTTGGTTAGTGGTCGTGTATAAGAGTTTAACAAAATATATAGTAGTGAAATGGATTGATGTGTATGTGTAGGTGTGTATTGCAACAGAAGGTTGCCTCAGAAAGTAGGAACAACAGAAGGTTGCTCCTCAAGGTGACTTCCGTTGGCACCGAGTTAACCCGACCTGAATAAAATCCAGTGTGTCTCGATTCACAACTCCAAATTAGCCTCATTCATAAATTTGGCCAATTCTTTAAAAAAATAGGCTGCTTTGTGAGCATTTAATTTTTTCCTGATAATAGCATGTCGTTGGCAGGAGAAGATTTCATGTTCCGTATTGTCTAGAACGTTGCAAACTTCGCAAATGTTGGTGGTTCTGGCTTTGAACTTGTGTAAATAAACGTTATCATATGATCGATTAATTAACAGTCTATTTATGACCTTTGGTTTTTGCACTTCAGTCGACAGTGCCATGGTTTGACTGGAATTTCATTGTAAATTTACGCAAAATAAATTCCTTTGGTTTTTGATATTTCCTTGTACTCATTGTTCCAAACCGCCTAAATTTTTATTTTAACTTTTATTATTACTTCAACGAATGTTAGGGGTAAATTAAATAGTTTGCCTACATTAGTGGCTGATTTGGCTAGTATATCAGTCTTTTCATTAATGGCAATGTTCTTGTGAACGGGTATCCAGTGCACAATAAAGTTGCTCGTGAAGGCATTGTCCATGTTGAGGTGGATTTCGTCTGTTAAGTATGAATTTGATTCATTTCTCTTCAGAGCCTTCAAGGCGCCTTGACTATCGCAGAGAATTACAGTTTTACTGTATCTTTTTATATTAGATATTTTAACTGCCGTTAATATACCTACAAGCTCTGCAAACACAGATGAGAGTTAAAGTTACTACCGTAATCTAAGATACCTATGCCTGTGTTATCACCATTGATGGATGCATCAGTGGAAGAAATGTTCCATCCACCTGACACCCATTCTTCAAGCTTAGCTTGATATATCGCATTGCATTCTTCGTTTGAGATGTCAGTTTTTTTCCTGTCAAAGACTGACAGACAAATTAAGGCTTTGGGACTATGTTTTTACTTATTGGCTTCATTATAATTGTCAAAAAGATCACTATATTCTTGGTACACAGTTGTATAGGCAGTCTTTGCAGTGGATTTAATAACGTCATTATACAAGGTGGGGTCTAGAGACTTTGCTTTCAGTAGTTCTCTGACTGTGAGAATTTTAGCTCTGTCTTTGGGAGGTAAAATACCAGCCAGAGCAAAAATCAGATGCGTAGATGTTTTTGGATGCACACCCACGCAACGGCGAAGGCAGTCCGTCTGTGCAGTGTTAAGGGACTTGCTGTTGCTAATGCTTAGATTCGAAACACGAGAAGGGACGTGTGAGACGCTTCTTACGCGTCACAACTTTTATACCCGGCACTCAGGACTACATCTGCACCTTAGCTGTTATTTGTAAAATTTTACATTTTACAAAACAAAAGCTGCGGGACTGGGTGGGTTTAGCCACTGGAAATTAATTTCTCCATTGTGGCTATACTGATCCGATCGGATCCCAATTTGGTGATCTGATAGATATGGCCATTTCCTACGGAATTGCGTTTTTAATTTTTTTTTATCTTCAAAATTTGGGAGGGTGGGGCTCATTTTTGAAATGCACTGGTTTCAGTGTGAGCATACAGCAGTCTGGAGCCAAAATTTGGTGGCTCTAGCTCTTATAGTATCTGAGAACTAGCC